CTCCTTTCCTTCTATCTCTCTCCTCTCTTCCTTCTTCCCTTCCTTCCTTTTCCTCCGTCCAGTGGTGGATTCCTCCCAGTTTGGTCCGTTCGGCTGAGCCGGTAGTGGTGACGATATGACATCACCGAACCGGTTCTCCCCCCCTCCCCGCCCTCCCACGTTATTCTTACCTTTTATTTGGTCCCACCCCCAATCTCTTGCTGCCTCCTGAGTCCCAGCTGATGACTAGAGGGAAAAAAACCTGTTTAAACTCTTGCCGGGGGCTTCAAAGGGCCGCCCTACAGCTGATCAGTGTTAAAAGCAAACAAATGAGTCGGGTCGTAAGTGCGAGGACTGGTCGTAAGTGCGAGGACCCTCCAGAAATGACTCTGACCAGCTAGCCACGCCCACCTAGTCACATGACCTCCAAGCCACACCCACAAAATAAGCCACGCCCACAGAACCGGTAGTAAAAAAAAATTAGAACCCACCCCTACCTCCGTCCCACCCTCCCAGAATTCTCTCTGGCCACATTGCTGGCCAGGGAACTCTGGGAATTGAAGTCAAGCGGGATCTTAAAATACGCTGACTGGAGAATTCTGGGAGTTGACTTCCACCCGCCATCTTCCAACTTCCAAGATTGAGAACGATTGGACGAGAGAGAGAGAGAGGCCAAGGCGACAAAAAGATCCCTTGACCCAGAACGATGGGGCTGCTAGTCTTACTGGCAGTGGGCATACAAAATAAAAAATATTATTTTTTCGGGCGCCCAGATTGTAGAAAAATCCCTCCAGTGTTTTTGGCAGAGGGAGTAAGCAAGGCATCGCTTGTTGTGATGGGCAGCTGCAGAAATCCAATGAATAAATAAATAAATAAAATTGTCGAAAGATTTACGGAGGGGAAGGAGAGGCGTTTGAGGGTGTGGAACCTCAAAACAGCGAGGGGCCGGGTCAGACCCCAGGGGAAGGGGTTGTGTTGGAGGACAGTCCCTGGATCCGACCCGGCCTTCCCTTGCACGGTACTTACAGAAGGAGGGAACTGAATGGCTGGCTCACTTGCTCAAGGAGGTAGCTCCTGCAAGCTGTTAGCAATTTGGGGAGCTGTGCCCCCACCCCCAAACCCATCCGAAGGCAGCCAGCTCGGGAAATGTTGCAAGGCTGGGTGAGGTCAATGCAATTTGCCACCCAGAGTCATTTCGTTATGAGATGAGTAGCAAATAAATTGGATGGATGGATGGATGGATGGATGGATGAATGAATGAAGAAGGAAGAAGGAAGGAAGGAAGGAAGGAAGGAAAGAAGGCAGGCAGGTAGAAGGGCATCCTGCTCAGCAAGTTTATTTATTTTATTTTATTTATTTAGTCGCATTTCTATGCCGCCCCACTCCCAAGGGACTCTGGCGGCAAAGAAATTTTAGGGGGTCAAAGAAAGTTGCCACCCAGAGTTGTTTTGTTATGCAATGGGTAGCATATAAAATGAATGGATGGATGGATGGATGAAAGAAAAAGAAGAAAGAAAAGAGAAAGAAAGAAAGAAAAAAGAGAGAGAGAGAAGAAAGAAAGAAAGGAGAAAGAGAAGAGAGAAGGTTAAGGTTAAAGTTAAGGTTTATTAAATTTGTATACCACCCTTCTCCCGAAGGACTCAGGGCGGTGAACAGCCAAGATTAAAATACATACAATATAAAAATTAAAATAAGAAAGAAAAGAAAGAAAGAAAGAAAAAGAAAGAGAGAGAAAGAAAGAAAGAAAGAGAGAGAGAAAAGAAAGAAAGAAAGAAAAAGAAAGAGAGAAAGAAAGAAAAAGAGAGAGAGAGAAAGAGAAAGAACAAAAGAAAGAAAAAATGGGAGGGCTTAAAAATTAAAGTACAGGTAGTTCTCACCTAAGGAAACAAAGAATGAAGGGAAGAAGGGAGGGAAGGAGGGAGGGAGGGAGGGAGGGAGGAATGGAAACGAGGAGAAGGAAGGAAGGAAGCCGTCTTGGTGCAGTGGTTAGTGTGCCATATTGCAGGCTGACTCTGCCCACTGCCAGCAGTTCGATCCTGACCGGCTCAAAGCTGACTCAACCTTTTTTTTTTTCCCCCAAAAAAGTTTTTATTTTTATTTCTCATAAACACATTTACATGTACAGTCATTCCCATCATTTTTCATTCATCTTTTCTTTTAACTTTAATTTTTAATTTGGAAAAAAAAAAAGTTGACTCAACCTTCCATCCTTCCGAGGTGGGTAAAATGAGGACCCAGATTGTTGGGGCAAGAGGCTGATTCTGTAAACCGCTTAGAGAGGGCTGTAAAAGCACTGTGAAGAGGTATATGCGGTAAATCTAAGTGCTATCGCTTGGGAAGGAAGGAAGGAAGGAAGGAAGGAAGGAAGGAAGGAAGGAGGGAGGGAGGGAGGGAGGGAGAAAAGAAAGAAAGAAAGAAAGAAAGAAAAAAGAAAGAAAGAAAGAAAGAAAGAAAGAAAGAAAGAAGAAAGAAAGAAAGAAAGAAAGAATTGCAGGCTAACTCTGTCCACTGCCAGGAATTCGATCCTGACCAGCTCAAGGTTGACTCAGCCTTCCGTCCTTCTGAGGTGGGTAAAATGAGGACCCAGATTGTTGGGGGCAAGAGGCTGATTCTGTACACCGCTTAGAGAGGGCTGTAAAAGCACTATGAAGCGGTATATAAGTCTAACTGCTATTGCTATTTTGAGACGGGCTGAGAATCATCTTTTTCGGGTTAGGAAGACCTCCCCTCTCCCCCCTAATCCACCCCTCCCAAGGATGTTTTGTGGGGGCTCATTGGTGGAGCGGAATTTCTGCATTTCCAACCATCTCCAAAAATCCTGCCCCAAGTCCTGGTTGTCCCCCCCCGAAACCATGTCAGGGACACAAAGACCTTCGCTTTGAGGATAACGCAGTCCGGAAGAGCAACGTGGAAAAAAAAATTAATGGCCTCCAGAAAACCAGGCCAAAAATCACAAAGGCCCCCTTTTTTTGTTAAAAGAGCGTCCGGCGGAAATACTTCGGCGGGCCGAAAATAAAAATGAACAGGAACCAAATACGCTTGGCTCTCCTTTGATCCAAGAGGGTGTGTGAAAGGTTTATTTTAATTTCTTGGTGGGGTGGCGGGGAGGGGGGGGTGCGGGGAGAGGAAAAGGATTGTCTTGAAATCATTTGCACAAACCAGGGATCGTCTACGGCGCTGGGATGGTTGCTTAAAATCTCAGTTAATTCAGGGTTGCAAACATCGAAAAAAAGAGTAGGAACCGGGCAGAAAAAACCTGGCCCTTTGCTGACATCTACTGGTCGCTTAGAGTTTTGCGCCCCAGGTCCAGTAATCCTCGATTTACGACCGGTTTCGTGCCAACCGCCAATGTGGGAAGCCCCCCCACCCCTTTCCAAGAGAATGAAATATTTTGGGGAATATTAAAAGAGGCAGAATATGATATTTCCGCAAAGGAGAAATGCGAGAAATGTGTTCTTAAAGGCAGAAAGCAACACCCAACAACCTCCAGCAGATGCTCAAAGTCTTTAGAGAAGGAGATTTTGTGCCCATTAAGAAATCCAGGCCAGCCTATTCGCCCCAAAAAATCCCACCTTCAGCTCCAAGTGATGGGATTAAGAAGGACAGGGCATGACCTTTTGGGACACAATAGGAGTAACCCCAACCCCATCAGAATAGCAAGGAGGCACAAAAAGTTCTCAATTTATGACTGGTTGTTAAGCTATGATGCGTTTGCTTTACAGCCCCCAAATCTGCCTCGCAACCTCCCCAAAAAAAGGCTGCAAAATTGGGTCTGGCCACGTGGTGACCTGCTCAATGGCCGTAATTGTGGGACTCAATTATGGTCGTAACTCGAGGTCGACCTGTCTGTATCTCTCCCCAGTTTCCCCATCTAATCTCTTAACCGTTGCAGCTGGGTAGGTAACAGCCCACCAAGGAGGTTTCCAAAATTACTCACAAGAAGACACGTAGAGACACAAACACACACACACACACATGGGGAGAACTGCCCGGACACACGAGTGAAACATTCACACTAGAACCAAGAAAGGCGGAAGGCAGAATTCAGACGTCTCTTCTTTTGCACTAGTAAATTGAGGACTACCTGTATCTTCCAGGTACCAATTGCGTAACCGTCTCCTCTCGCATCCGAGTTACTGCCTAGTAATTATTTGGGCTCATCCTGAAGGAAATCAATCTAGGCAGTCACTAAAAGGTGACATCAACAATGACAATCCATCTGTATGTCCATCCATCCATCCATCTTAAATTCCAGGTCTTTCTTTCTTTCTTTCTTTCTTTCTTTCTTTCTTTCTTTCTTTTTTTCCTTCCTTTCTTCCTCCCTTCCTTCCTTCCTTCCCTCCTTAAACTCAAACCTTCCATCTTTCTTTCCTTCCTCCCATCCTTTCTTCCTTCTCCCTCCCATTTCCTGCCTCCTTCCATCTCCTCCTTCCCTCTCCTTCCTTCCTTTTTCCCTCCCTCCCTCTTTCCTTCCTTCCCTTCCATCTTTCTTCCCTCCCTCCCTCCCCCTCCTTCCTTCCTTTCTTCCTCCCCGTTTTCTTTCCCTCCCTCCTTCTCTCTCCTTCCATCTCCTTCCTCCCCTCCTTTCTTCCACTCTCCTTCCCCCTTTCCTTTCCCCCTCCCCTTCCATCTCCTCCCTCCCTCCCCTTCCCTGCTTCCATCTCCTCCCTCTTTCTTTCCCCCCTCTTTGCTCTTCCTCCTGGCACATAATGTGGGGATTGACGATCTCAAGAGCTTCCTATGCATCAGGCTCTGGGCGCTCCCACCTGGCTGTGCAGACGGCCGATGGTCTAGATGACCTCCAAGGCCCCGCCCGTCCCAAGTGCTTTGCTAAAACCGGTTCAATGGCCCCTTGAGGATGTCCAATGTGGAACCCACCGAGATCACCCCAAGCTGGGAATCTCAGCGGATGCCGGACCTCAAAGGTGAGGAATATCCTAAGAGCAACTCAAGTCTCTCAGAAGACATTAAAATATATATATATATTTTAAAAAAGGAAATGAAAATATTCCTTTACTCACTGGGTACCCTTCGGTTTTCTTCTGACACCATTTCAGGAGTGCGTTCCGTTTCGAGCCGCCATATTCCCTCGCCAACGCGGCCAATGGATCCTTCCTTTCCACACTGCAAACCGGAAGAATAACAGAATGACAGGGCCGGAAGGGACCTTGGAGGTCATCTAGTCCAACCCCCTGCTCAGGCAGGAAAGCCTATCCCATTTCAGACAAGTGACTGTCCAATCCCTTCTTAAAAACCTCCAGTGATGGAGCACCCTCAACTTCTGGGGGCAAGCAGTTCCACTGGTTAATTGTTCTGACTGTCAGGAAATTTCTCCTTAATTCCAGGTTGCTTCTCTCCTTGATGAGTTTCCACCTGTTGCTTCTTGTCTTGTTGGACTTCAACTCCCAGAATTCCCCAGCCGGCTTTGCTTGAAGACTTGTGGCCTTCAACTCCCAGAATTCCTCGGCCGGCTTTGCTTGAAGACTTGTGGCCTTCAACTCCCAGAATTCCTCAGCCGGCTTTGCTTGAAGACTTGTGGCCTTCAACTCCCAGAATTCCTCAGTCAGCAAATCTGGCTGAGGAATTCTGGGAGTTGAAGTCCACAAGTCTTAAAGTTGCCAAAGTTGGATCTGGATGATGTCACCTATGCCAAGATCCTTCCTTCTGAAGTGTTGGCATCACAACTTGTGAGGATTGGGGTGGAAGCTGTATCAGTCAGAGGTGAAGGCCATCAAGCACCTTCTGGATGGGCAACTATGGCATCTTCAGGACCTGTGGACTTCAACTCCCAGAATTCCAGGCTCCTCCCCCCACTTTCCCCATTGACTTTGCTTGTTGGAAGCCATGCTGGCTCAGGAATTCTGGTCCACAGGTCATATATAACCTTGCTGTATACAGGTAGTCCTCAAGTTACGACCATAATTGAGCCCCAAAATTTTTCTGTTGCTAAGCGAGACGTTTGTGAAGTGGATTTCCCCCATTTTATGACCTTTCTTGCCACAGGGTTATTAAGTGAGTTGCACGGTTGTTAAGTGAATCACACGGTTGTTCAGTGAACCAGCTTCCCCCTTGACTTGGTTCGTCAGACGGTCGTAAAATGGGGATCACGTGATTTCGAAACACCTGTCATAAATATGAGTCAGTTGGCAAGCATCTGAATTTTGATCACGGGGAAGTGGTCGTTACGTGTCAAACTGGTCCTAAACCACATTTTTTTCAGTGCCGCCGTACCTTCGAACTGTGGCTAAACGAATGGTCGTAAGTCAAGGACTACCTGTAATTGACACCCACATCTTGCCTCCAAAGCAGCAGAGCTACCTGACTCACCTGAGTTTGCTGGGCGGTTTCAAGCCGCTGGGCGTGGAAGTGAACATCCTTCCGGCGAAGGTCAGGGTGGGGGGCTTGCTGAGCGATTCGAGGGAGGGGCTCTTGCGCAGGAAGGGGTCCGGTTTCATCTCCTCGTTCCTCCCTTTGAGCAGATCTTCGAGGAAAGGATGAGAAGAAAAACATTGGATGAATAAAAAATATTCCAAATGTTGGAAATGTAATCAAAAACCGGGCACATATTATCACATGTGGTGGACGTGTCCAAAAGCAAAATAATTCTGGATGAAGATACACACATGGTTAGAAAAAACGTTAAGGCAGCATATAGACTATAAGCCAGAAGTATTTCTGTTAGTTTATTTCATTGTCACTGCACCTCGTACAACAAAATTAAATGCCATCTTCAGTGTACATTATAACTGTAAAAAATAAAACACAAAAACACATCCTTCACATTCTATATAATTTAAAACCCCTGATATTGCATTAATATTGCACTATACCGTAGGATTCAACATAGTTACTGCTCTGGGATAGAAGCTGTTTTTCAGCCTATTTGTCCTTGTTTTTATTATCCTGTACCGTCTGCCAGATGGTAATAATTCAAAAACAAGGGTGAGATCCAGGATGAGATGGATCTCTAAGAATATTTTGAATTTTCTTAAGGCAGCAGGAGCTATAAAGCTGTTAGGCATAATACCAGAAAAATATGACAAAGGGTATGTATATTCTCATATCAATGACATGTTTTGACAGCAGCAAGAATTGTATTTGCATAACACTGGTAAAACGAGGAAACACCAACAGAAGAAGACATAATGTAAAAAATATTAGACTGTGCAGAAATGGATAGCTTAACACTGAAGATTAAAGAAGAAGAAGACACAGAGTACTTCAGAATTTGGGGCTTGTTTTATCAATGGTTGGAAAATAGAGGTAGAAATTAGGATGTTAAAAAGTATTATTATGTATAAACAAATTGACTCAGACTGTACGATGTCCACCAAGCACACATTGTATGTGAAGAGAAAATAAATATATTTATTTATCACTGCAGTTGTTAAGCTGATAACATGGTTGTTAAGTGAATCTGACTTCCCTCTTGGAATTTGCTTCACGAAGGTCGCAAAAGGGGATCACATGACCCCGAGTCTCTGCGACCGTCATAAATACGAGTCAGTTGCCAAAGCGTCTGAATTTGGACCATGTGACCACGGGGATGCTGCAACGGCCGTTAAGTGTGAAGCACGGCCCTAAGTCACTTTTTTCAGTGCCGTTGTAACTTTCGAATGGTCACTAAACGAACTGTTGTAAGTCGAGGACTCCCGGTACAGTAAAATTGAGCTAGCACTCTTGATAGTGCTTGGAGTGGTGCGGTGGCCTAGAGGTGGCGCTCTCGGCCCACAATCAGGAGGCTGTGAGTTCGATCCTAGGTAGAGGCAGATATTTCTCTCTCTGGGCACAATGAGAATATATCTGCTGAACAAAACTCCTCATTGGCAACAGGGAAGGGCATCCGGCCATGAAAACACTCTGCTAACTCCATTCAGTTGCCCAGATTCCACCCCGCAAGGGATTATGGGGTCGATGATGATGATTCTTGATGGTGCTTTTTCTCTCTGTACTACCTCGCAGGGCTAACGGTGCATTTGAACCCGTGCCTCGTTCACGGCAGGAGGAGGAATATTTTTGGGGAATAAAGCGACACGACAGATTCTCAGCCGGCCTCCCCGTCAGAGCGATCGGCAAAAGAATATTGAAAACAAATCAGTAAATACAATTTGCGCACAGAACTGTGGCACCAGACATGTATTATTTATTCTTTTCTTGGCTGTTATTCTTTTCTTTCTTTTCTTCCAGGAATCAAAAACTCCCTTAAGAGATTTCTAGCTTGGATCGTCTCAGAGGCTGCACTTCCGAAGCTGCAAGCAAACTCTTTGCGGTTTTGCATCGCACTTTTTTTTGGGGTGTGTGTCTGCACAATTTAACCGTCTGCATAATTAAGGCAATAACTGAAGCTGATCAATGTCTCTCTCTCTCTCTCTCGTCTCCTTAATCAATGTGTTCACTCCAGTTTGGAAAACAAAGACATCCTGGCTCTTGCATCCGAGATCCAAAGAATAGAAGCATCCTTAAAAATGTGACTTTTTTTTTAAAGGCCACACTGCATCCAGTTTTGGTCCCCGTATTATAAAAAACAAAATTAAAGGCTTTAGAAACCGCAAGCTTAACAGAGTTGGAAGGGACCTTTGGAGGTCATCTAGTCCGGAGGTTCTCAAACGGGAGCTGGATTGTTGGCATTTGCCGGATTGATGTTGGAGATGCCCCTCCCCCCGACTTGTATATTTTATTAGGAAAAGCCCTTTCTACCTTCCCCTTCCTGGACATCCAGTCGTTTCTTAGGATAACCGAGATCTGGAATTTCAGATGACTCGAGAAAATAAGCCAAGCCACATACTGATTTAAATTAGGATATTGCAGTATTAAGTAAGGGATTTACAGATTAACAGCGTTGGAAGGGACCTTAGAGATCATCTAGTCCAACCCCCCGTCCAAGCAAGGAGACCCTATCCCATTTCTGACCGAGGGCAGTCCAGTCTCTTCTTGGAAGCCTCCAGGGATGAAGCTCCCACAACTTCTGAAGGCAACTTCTGTTCCATGGGTTGATTGTTTCTCACTAAGGCTCAAGGTTGACTCAGCCTTCCATCCTTTCTAAGGTAGGTAAAATGAGGACCCAGTTTGTGGGGGCAATAAGCTGACTTTGTATAAATATACAAAAGGATGAAGGCTATTGCTTAACGCACTGTAAGCCGCCCTGAGTCTCCGGAGAAGGGCAGCATATAAATCAATTTTTTTTAAAAAATTAAAAAACAAACAAACCCAGATTGCAAATTGTTGAGCCTTAAACGAGACCCTCAAGCTCAGGAAATCATCATTTTTAGGCTTCGAAGTTGGGAGTAGAATTTTATTTATGTTTTAATTTTATTTATTTTTTTGGACCGGAACCTGTAGCTTAGACAAGCCTTAGAAAAAGGTTTTGTTTTAAGGGTTTATGCATATTTTAAAGCCAGGCGTGCGCACAACGCCCACACAGACACACTCACATTTAAACATGCCCATGGCTCTTTGCTGAAATTTGTCATTTTGCCACAAGTTTTTGGCAGGAGAGAAGACCGGGGGTGGGGGTGGAGGGTGGAGGAAGGCACAAAAACTTTAACTGTGCTTCCTTGCAAAAGAATTGAGGATGGAGGGGAAAGGGAGGAGGAGGAGGAGGAGGATGAAGAGGAGGAGGAGGACGAAGAGGAGGAGGAGGACGAAGAGGAGGACGAGGAAGAGGAGGATGAGGAGGAAGAGGAGGAGGAAGAGGAGGAAGAGGAAGAAGAGGAAGAAGAGGAGGAGGAGAAGGAAGAGGAGGAAGAGGAGGAGGAAGAGGAGGAAGAGGAGGAGGATGAAGAGGAGGAAGAGGAAAAGGAGGAGGAAGAGGAGAAGGAAGAGGAGGAGGAAGGAAGAGGAGGAGGAGGAGAAGGAAGAGGAAGAGGAGGACAAAGAGGAGGAGGAGGACAAAGAGGAGGAGGAGGAGGAAGAGGAGGAGGAGGAAGAGGAGGAGGAGGAAGAGGAGGAGAAGGAGAAGAGGAGGAGGAAGAGGATGTCTGGCAGCAGAGTCAGACAGTGAGGAGGTTGGGGAGGAACATGGGCCAATCCTGGGGGGGCTGGGGAAAGCTCGGACGAGGGCTCTGCATCGGAGGCAGAGAGGGAGCTAGGCAGCAGCGAGGCAGGGGAGCAGCTGGAGCCTGTTCCCAGTGTGTGCATAGCTGCCAGAGCCCAAGAACAACTAAGAAAGCAGAGTCACCTTGGAAGTAAAGCCACACCTTGGAGGTGATTTGCCCCTCCCGTAGGAAACCAAAGAGGAGCGAACGGGCAGGGGGCTTTTGCAGGAAACAATTCGTTCATTCGATTGTTTCAAGAGTGGAAAGTTCTGTTCGTGACTCTAAGAGACTCTGTGCCAAGTTTGGCCTTGTACTGCGTTTGGAAACTAGTTATCTGGCAGCTTTCCAAGCGAGATAAGGTTGGTGTTGATAAATATTCCTTTGAAAGACTGTTTGGACAGGCCTTGCTGACTGTGAATGAAAGGAATTCACAGTTGTGTAAATAAAAGGGGTTTCGCCGGGGACCAAGACTCTGCTTCGTGCTTTTTAAGGAAGCCAAGGTCAGAACGGAGGAGGAGGAGGAAGGAATGGGCGATTTCCCCCCTCCCCGCTTTCTTGAAAAAAAGCGGGAGTGGGCAGGATTTGTCTCGCAGCTAATCAAATACAGTAATTACTTTTTTTCCTGGCCTAACGTGTATATAGCTTTCCCTTGACTTACAACAGTTTGTTTAGTGACCGTTCGAAGTTACAACAGCAGTGAAAAAATGGACTTATGACCATTTTTCACACTTACGACCATTGCAGCATCCGCGTGGTCGCGTGATCAAAATTTGGCCGTTTGGCAACTGGCTCGCCTGTTCCCTGGGGGCCACGTGATCCTCCTTTTGCGACCTTCTGACCAGTCCACGGGGAAGCCAGATTCACTTAACGACCGTGTTCCCAACTTAACAGCGGCAGGGATTCGCTTAACAACTGAGGCAAGAAATTGTTGTAGAACGGGGGACAAACTCACTCAGCCCAATGTCTCATTTAGCGATAGGAAATTTTGGCTTTCCATTCTGGTCCTTAAGTCGAGGACTGCCTGTCTATACTACAGTCGTAGGGTCGTGGCTGCAGGATGATTATTTAGTTCCTGTATTATTATTATTTTTTATTCCTTCCCCTTTTTTATGGGCTGGGACACAGCCAGCCAGTTTTGGGTCTCATCCCAGAGCAGAGGCTGGTCCGGAGACAATTTGGGCACGGGTTCAAATGGCAGATGTCCCTGCCCAGTTTCTGTCTGGCCTTGCAAAAGTCCAGTAATGCTGAATGCAAAAGAGAAAACGATGGCTCCTTTGGGACGAAGCTGTTGAAATATCTCGGGAGGCATCAAGAGGAATGAGCCAAAATGTTGGCATGCCCTGCCCGGGTTCCTCCTGCCAGTGGGGGCAGCTAAAGAGACCAGAAAGCTGCCCCCAGTGGCTTCTTTTCGGATGGGGAGATAAGCTGGTCTTTGTTTTAATTTTTTTATAGAATGATGATGGAATATGGGCTGGAAGGGACCTTGGAGGTCTTCTAGTCTAACCTCCCGCCCTTATACCATCCTGGAGAAATGGCTGTCTAGTCTGTTCTTGAAAACCTCCAGTGATGGAGCCCTCACGACTTCTTCTTGCAGACGTTTCATGACCCAATTAGGTAACATCATCAGTGCTAGAAGGACAGGGGTTTGTAGAGTATGAGCAGGGCAGGAGGAGGAGGAGGAGGAGAAAAAGAAGGAGAAGAAGAGAGAAGGAGGAGGAGGAGGAGGAGAAGGAGAAGAACAAGAAGGAGGAGGAGGAGAAGGCGAAGAAGAGAAAAGAAGGAGAAGGAGAAGAAGGGAGAAGGAAGAGGAGGAGGAGGAGGAGAAGAAGGAGAAGAAGAGAGAAGGAGGAGGAGGAGGAGAACAAGAAGAAGGAGGAGGAGAAGGCGAAGAAGAGAAAAGAAGAAGAAGGAGAAGAAGAGAAGGAAGAGGAGGAGGAGGAGAAAAAAAGGAGAAGAAGAGAGAAGGAGGAGGAGGAGAAGAAGGAGGAGGAGGAGGAGAAAAAGGAGGAGGAGGAGAAGAAGAGAGAGAAGGAGGAGGAGGAGGAGGAGGAGAACAAGAAGGAGGAGGAGGAGAAGGCGAAGAAGAGAAGAAGAAGAAGAAGAGAAGAAGGGAGAAGGAAGAGGAGGAGGAGGAGAAAAAGAAGGAGAAGAAGAGAGAAGGAGGAGGAGGAGAAGAAGGAGGAGGAGGAGGAGAAAAAGGAGGAGGAGGAGAAGAAGAGAGAAGAAGGAGGAGGAGGAGGAGGAGAACAAGAAGGAGGAGGAGGAGAAGGTGAAGAAGAGAAAAGAAGGAGAAGGAGAAGAAGGGAGAAGGAAGAGGAGGAGGAGGAGGAGGATTATTGTGGGGTCCCTGGTGCTCTCTGAGCTTGGTTGTTTTCTTGCAGACATTTCATGACCCAACTAGGGAACATCATCAGGTCTAGAAGGGAACAGGGGTGTGCTCTCCTTTTATATAAAGCGGCGGCAGTTAACACCAGCCTAACCCAAGACGAAAACAACACTCCCATCACAACACAACGCAACAACCACCCAAATACCCAACAGCCCCTGGACCAAGGAAAGAATACCCTGCTCATGGCCAGTTGAAACCTTCTGGGGTGACCTGGTTAACTGGTCTCCCTCCCTAGTCCTTGAATTTCAGCCCAAACGGGTCAATGATTTTCCCAGGATGAAAACAAGATAAAATCAACCTTCATTTGACAGATCCGTGCAATTTCGGTGATGGGAAGGTGGCTACTTACCCCCCAAAGGGAGTTCCAGAAGATCCGTGTGTTTGGATAAAGTCTTCCCGCCCGATTTGGGGTTGGTGAAAGTGGAATGTCTCTGCAATTGAGAAAGAGCAGAATCAAATTAGGGGACTGGAGGCTGAAACATATGAAGAACGGTTGCAGGAACTGGGGATGTCTAGTTTAATGAAAAGAAGGACTAGGGGAGACATGATAGCAGTCTTCCAATATCTCAGGGGCTGCTCCAAAGAAGATTTGGGGGTCAAGCCCGTGGTGAGATTCAGCCAGTTCGCACCTATTCGGGAGAACCGGTTGTTAACTTTCTAAGCATTTCGGAGAACCAATTGTTGGAAGAAATCTTGTTTTTTTTCCACTTTACAGGGCTAATCCTGTAAGGAAGGCAGGAAGGGAACATTCTGCTGGTATTTCTAGCCTAATCTTTATTGCCCTCCTTACAGAAACTGCCTCTCTGGTTAACCCTTATTACATTGTAACAACTAAGGCGAAGCGCCCATCGATGTGAGAGACATTGAGTTGGCCACGTCCACACGGACACATGGCCACCGAGCCACGCCTACCCAGCTGGTCATTAGGGCAGAGAACCGGTTGTTAAATTATTTGAATCCCACCACTGAGTCAAGCTATTCTCCAAAGTACCTGAGGGCAGGACAAGAAGCAACGGGTGGAAACTCATCAAGGAGAGAAGCAACTTAGAACTAAGGAGAAATTTCCTGACAGTTAAAACAATCTGTGGAACGACTTGCCTCCAGAAGTTGTGAATGCTCCAACACTGGAAGTTTTTAAGAAGATGCTGGATAACCATTTGTCTGAAATGGTGTAGGGCTATGATTGCAAACCTATAGCATGTGTGCCAGATGTGGCACACAGCACCCTCTGATGGCATGAGAGCCGTTGCCCCAGTTCAGCTCCACTGTGCATGCGCGTGTGCCTCCCGCCAGCCAGCTGTCCTTCGGGTCTCTGCCATGCATGCACTGGGGGGGGCAGGGCACATGTGGGGGGCTATGCATGCATGCATGGGGGGACATATGTGCGTGGGGCGCACGCACGGGGTGGGGCACATGCAGGGGCCCGCACACACGTTGCATTTTGGGGGGTTGGGTGCGCGCGCATTCACGCCTGCACACACATGCTTTGGGCACTCAGTCCAGAAAAGGTTAGCCATCACTGGTATAGGGTTTCCTCCCTAAGCAGAGGGTTGGACTAGAAGACCTCCAAGGTCCCTTCCAACTCTGTTATTAAAACAAGAAAAAAGCTGGGGAATTCTGGAAGTGGAATTCCACCCCCCTTAAAGCAAAGAGCCTTGGTGGCACAGCAGACTAAAGTGCTGTTAAGTAGCACCAGCTGCCTGCAATTACTGCGAGTTCGAATCTCACCAGGCTCAAGGTTGACTCAGCCTTCTGTCCTTCCGAGGGAGGTAAAATGAGGACCCGGATTGTGGGGGCAATAAGCTGACTTTGTATAAAAAAGAACACCACTTGGGGGGGGGCGCGAAAACCCTACTAAGCAGGTATATACAAAAGTAGGAAGGCTATTGCTTAAAAGCATTGTAAGCCGCCCTGAGTCTCCGGAGAAGGGCGGCATATAAACCGAACCAATAAAAATAATAAATAAATAAATGGCTGGCTGGGGAATTCTGGGGATGGACGTCCACCCCTCTTAAAAGATGCTGAGATTCAGAATTGAGGCTGCAAACAGAAAATCTCCCCCTGCCCATCTGGAGGTCCTGTAAGGCCAGAGAGGCTCTTTGGGGTACCTGGATGGGAGACACAGCAGCCGCAGGAGCCGTCCGGGTGGGGATGTTGCTGAGGGGACTCCGGCAGACCTTGTGGATGGGCACGCTTTGCCCGGTGCCTCCTGCAGGAGAAACGACAGAAATAACACGAGTCGGAAGGCACTTTTGAGGTCATCTAGTCCAACCCCCGAGATCCTATGCCATTCCAGACAAACGGCTGTCCAATCTCTTCTTAAGAAACCTCCAGTGATGGAGTAGAGAGTCATATACAGGTAGCCCTCGATGTACGACCACAACGTTGAGCCCAAAATTTCTGTTTGCTAAGTGAAACGTTGGCTAAGTGAGTTTTGCCCCATTTTTACGACTTTTCTTGACATAGTTGTTAAGTGAATCAATGAAGTTGTTAAGTGAGTTATATGGTTGTTAAAGAGAATCTGGCTTTCACGTTGACTTTGCTTGTCAGAAGGTTTCAAAAAGTCCCACAGGGAGACGGCAACCGTCATAAATATAAGTTAGTTGCCAAGGGTCTGAATTTTGATCATGTGACCCCAGGGAGGCTGCAACGGTTGTAGGCTTGGGGCTAATTGGCCACTCCCTTAGCCTATTTAAGGAGGAACGCCAACTGAAGCAATTTGCAGGGAACAACTTCAGTTCATTCTCCTTCGCGTCTGGATTCTCTGCAAATTGCTTCTGGGCTTTCTGCCAACCATAGTAAGATTACGGTTATTTATTCTTTGGATTCTTGTAGGCGGTTAAGAAAGTTTATTAACAGCCTTTGTTTTGAAGTTATTTTAGTAAATTAAGTTTTGTACAAACTTATGCGTGTGCTGTGTTCCTTGGGATCCACAGCTGGGGCAGAACAGTATTTATCATGCGGTCAAAGGAGGAAGCCGTGAGGGTCCACTCACCTGAGCACCCCAGATCAAAAGACTTGATCAGCGATTTGACGGTGGCCAAGGACTCCGGGGGGGTTGGCGAAAGACGACTGACCGCGACCCCCGGCCAATGATTGCTAGCTTCCGTCTCCGTACCGTTGATGGAGTCCGGTGCCAACCTGAGGGAGAAAAACATCCAAAATTTAAGGGAGGGTCCAGATTTGGGTGGGTGGGTAGGAAGCACCCTTCCAAAACGCAGATCAAATGGCCTTCCCTCCCCTCCCCTGTTTCTCGCGCCAATTCTGCAGAATTCTCGAAAAATCTGTTTTTATTTTTTAAATCTATTTTGTCCTAGAGAAAACCTCCCGGATGTCCCGTGAATTTTCCTGGATTTCAATAATTTCCCAGGCTGGGATGGGAATACAGGTGGTCCTCGAGTTACGACCGTTCGTTGAGTGACCGTTCGAAGTTACAACGGGGTTGAAAATAAAGTGACTTACGACCGTTTTTCACACTTAACGACCGTTGCAGCATCCGTGATCAACATTCGCACGCTTGGCAATGGGTTCCTATTTATGACAGTCGCAGATTTCCCCGTGGTCACGTGATTTACATTCAGATGCTCGATTCATACTTATGACGGTCACGGGGTCCCTTGATCCCCTTTTGCGGCCTTCTGACGAGCAAAAAGTCCACGGGGAAGCCGGATTCGCTCCACAACCGTGCGAGTAACACAATTGCCGTGATTTATTTAACAACTGCTGCAAGAAACGTCGTAAAACGGGGCAAAACTGACTTAAAACTATTGTCTCGCTTAGCAATGGAAATTTTGGTCGTAAGTCGAGGACTAACTGTCTTCCGTCCAGATATTGACAAAAACGACAGTAGCATTTTAATGATTGATTTCTCTCTGAAAATCAAGCGTGAATGCCCCCGGGCAATCACACGCCCTGCTCTTTCGGTTGAGTGTCAAGTTTTAATGGCCCTGTGAATTGCGTCTACTTTGGCGCAGGATTCGATCTCTAAACCACCAGTTAAGACTCCGATCGCAGGGAAAACAACCGACCGACCAACCAGGGCCTTTGTTGTAACCCGAGTCTTCCCCAGTGCAGAGAACAATGAAAATCGATTTTTCAAAGGAATCTCTCCATCGTACCAACCTTTTTTAGGGGAAGGGGAGCATTTTGGAGCAGCCCCTCCAAGCCACGGGGATGGGGGGGTTGTTTGAGGTCACAAATTTGAGCACTCCTACACATCCTTGCAACTTGGGACTAATTCCTTGAAATTGTTCGGATGAACAGCCCATCACACTCAAGGTTTGCAAAAAATAATGTGAATTTGAGAAAAGACAGTTTGGATCTAGAGATTATGGCACCTTGCTAGAAACTGGGAGACACTGCGTTCTAGTTCTGCCTTTGCGGTGAAAGGCGGCTGTGTGACTTTGGGTCAATCACCAGGAGATTGTGAGTTCTAGTTCCCCCATAGCCATGAAAAGCCGACTGGGAGATTTTCGGTCAATCACCAGGAGATTGTGAGTTCTAGTGCTGCCTGAACCAAGAAAGACATCTGGGTCACTTTGGATCAGTCATCAGGAGATTGTGAGTTCTAGTTCTGCCTGAACCAAGAAAGACATCTGGGTCACTTTGGATCAGTCACCAGGAGATTGTGAGTTCTAGTGCTGCCTGAACCAAGAAAGACATCTCGGTGACTTTAAATCAATCACCAGGAGCTGGTGAGTTCTAGTTCTGGCTTAGCCGTGAAAGACAGCTGGGTGACTTTTGGTCCAATCACAAGGAGGCAGTGAATTATAGTCCTACTTTAGGCATGAAAGCCAATTGGGTGACTTTGGGCCCATCACCAGGAGACAGGGAGTTCTAGTCCCACCTTACGTCATAAAAGCTGGCTGGGTGTCTTTGTGCCAGTCCCACCTCACAGGGTTGTTGTTGTGGGGGGGGGGAAATAGGAGGAGGAACAAAGATGGGGGTACGTTCGCCACCTTATTTGTAAAAAAAACAATAAAAGGCAGGCTACAAAACAAAGGAATAAATAACTCCATAAACAGCGTTTTTGATAAGGAAGCCACGGCAAAAAGGAAGCCAAGGGAGGGTTGGATTTATTTTATTGCAAAAGTTAACGAGGTCACACATTTATTTATTTTATTTATTTTTTTCAAGGTCATGCAGATTTCCCTGAAAGCAGGAATGTGGAAGAAAAGGTCATTTCTGACAAAAGACGCTGCCAGGCGGGGATGGAGAAGGGAGGTAAATTCCTCCTTCTCCAACCTGCCCAGCCTCAAACCACCCGTTAAAAAAATAAATAAATGTAAGTCACGACGACGTCGCAGGCAGGAAATTGCAAACCACAGGGGCGCGACGGGAATAGATGCACGAAAGCTCGGCTTGGAATCGGAAAACACAAAACCCCGACGGGGGGGAACCGCGTTTGCATGGGGGGGAGAGAAGGGGCACCAGCGGGTCTCCCCGGGGCCCCAACATCGAGAAGGCTCTGCTCCCCGCAACGTTCCTTCTCGCCCTTCCAGGAAGTGGGGGGAAAAAAACCCAGTTAAAGTGGCACGAGAGAGCGGTAACTCCCAGCTTTGGGGATGATGGAAAAGAGACCCTACGGAAGAGAATATTTAGGTAGCCCAGGGTTGAACTGCGGGGGTCCTTGATGCTCTCTGAACTGGGTGGTTTTCTTGCAGACGTTTCATGACCCAACTAGGGAACGTCATCAGTGTTAGAAGGGGAGGGGGGTTTGTGAAGAGGAGAAGGAGTCCTTGGTGTTCTCTGCGCGGGGCGGTTTTCTTAACAGACTTAACTAGGTAGCATCATCAATGGTGAGGGGAGGGGGTTGGTTTGTGCAGAGAGAGAAAGAGGGGTGGAGAAGTAGCAGGAGGAGGAGGACTGTGGGGTCCTTGGTGCTCTCCGAGCTTGGTTGTTTTCTTGCAGACGTTTCATGACCCAAGTAGGTAACATCATCAGTGCTGGAAGGGAGGGGTGTTTGTGGAGAGGAAGAGCAGGAGGAAGAGGAGTAGGACTGTGGGGAGGTGGAGGTGGAGACAGTGGAAGAAGAAGGAGAAGAAGAAGAAGGAGAAGGAGAAGGAGAAGGAGAAGGAGAAGGAGAAGGAGAAGAAGAAGAAGAAGAAGAAGAAGAAGAAGAAGAAGAAGAAGAAGCTGCGACGAGACTTTTAACACCGTCGAACAAGCACCATCATTCCTTACCTTCCTTAACCAGGTACCGTGCATAGATTAGCAGCCAGTGACGATATTCATGACTTGACTGTAAAGCCAAAGCAGAGGCCACCTGATTCTCCAGGTACGCCGTGGTGGTTTCTTGCTGCACCAAATGAGGCATGGAGAACAATTTGGCTGCCTGTCGCCCAGAGCTGTGGGAAAGGAACAAAGAGGAGGCAGGTTTTAGGAGCTGAGAATGGAAGGAAGTGTAGGTGGTGACCAGGCTGAGCCCGTGGGAAGGAGTCAAACAGGTCATAAGTCACGAGTTCCTGCGTGCCCGCGAGAGATCTAAGACCAGCCCACTTTGAATGCCTTTCTTATCTCCTGCTCATTTCCCTTGACTGTTAGTTGGCCAGATTCTTGTAGAGCTTTAAGCTTGCAATAAATCTTTATAAAGGTAGTCCTGGACTTACGAACACAATTGAGCCCAGAATTTCTGTTGCTACTGTAAGTGAAACCTTTTGTTACATGAGTTTTGCCACTTTTTACACTTTTCTTTCCAGTACTGTTAAGTGTATCATAACAGTTGTGCAGTTAGTAACATGGTTGTTAAGTGAGCCTGGCTTCCCCCATTGATTTTGCTCGTTCAGAAGGTCGCAATGGGGGATCCCATGTCCTCGGGACACTGCAACCGTCATAAATAGGAATCAGTTGCCAAGCATTTGAATTTGGATCATGCGACCACGGGGATGTTGCAATGTCGTAAGTGTGAAAAACAGTCATTTTTCAATGCCCTTGTACCTTTGAACGCTCGCTAAACGAGCTGTTGTAAGTAGAGGACTACCTGTACTCATTGGAGCTGCCTGGATATCCTGATTTCCCTGGTGCTTGACAGGAAGCTATATAGGAGCTTTTGGGGGATTGATTGATTTAGTGTTTGGCAAATACAGCAGGGGTGAAATCTAAAATTTGTTATTACCAGTTCTGTGGGCGTGGCTTGGTGGGGGGTTAATGTGACTGGGTGGGCGTGGCCATTTTTTTTTTTTTTTTACTTTTAAAACCATTTTTCGAAGAGGTTGTAAAAAATGTTTTCAAAAGGCTCTGACGATCCCAGCTGAGTTGCCTGATCAGCAGAGGCTTTTTTTCTTTTAATCAGGCAACTCAGCTGGGATCGTCAGAGGCTCTTAAAAGCATTTTTTCTACAACCTCTGAAGAGGTTGTAGAAAAAATGCTTTTAAAAGCCTTTGACGATCCCAGCTGAGCTGCGCGATCATTGGAGGCTTTTTTTTTTTTTAACTTTTAAAAGCATTTTTTCGGCCGAAGAGGTTGTAGAAAAAATGCTTTTAAAAACTAAAAAAAAAAAATAAAGCCTCTGATAATTGCGCGGCTCAGCTAGGCATGGGGGGGGGGACAGGGATTTTTGCTACCGGTTCTCCGAACCACCCGCCGCCATCACTACTGGATCGGGCGATCCGGTCCGAACCGGGAGCATTTCACCCCTGAAATACAGGACTTATAGTAGTTCAAATGTTAATGTCCAGTCCACCCTGCCATTCAGGGCAGTCTATGTTGAAAAATATCAGACAAATATCAGACATTGGGCCAGTGTAAGTTCTTGATGGAAATTTGGACACAATGTGGTGAATAATTTGTCGAGGAGCACCACAGTCACACTGAGGGGTAGAGACAAGACCCCACTTAAACAATGAGTCCTGGCAGACACCATGTTGGGTACGGATCCTGTTCAGACTTGTCCAATGCTGGCGAGGAAGGTCAAAACCTGGCACCTTTTTGGGGGGGGGGGGGAAATCTGCACAGTTCCAACAGGGGCAGCATTCAGAGTTCAACGCAGGGGTCCCCAAGGTTTTGGGTGATCAAGAGCTTGGCTCGTTTTGGCGGTAAACACAAAGAGGTAGAGCGAGACAGACAAAGTCGTACTTTGACATTCGTCCTTGAATGATGGCTAAAGGTCCCGAACACAGCATGGACTCCTGGGATGGTAGACTGCTCCTGAAGTCTGCACACTGTGCCAATGTTTCCTGCTTGTCGGAGACAAGGTTCCTGGAAAGGCAGAACATGTTACAGTTATCCAAGTGGAGGAAAGAGAGACCTTCTCGCAAAATTAAACAGGTGCAAAAGTGGGAATTTAACCAGGGGTGGGCTGCTGGGGGTTAGCCCTTAGCTAACCTCTAGCTAAGATTCTGTGCAGTTCGGAGAACCCCCAAATCCCACTCCTGGCTGGCCCCGCCCCTCTCAGGAGTCCCCACCCAGCTCGTTTTGGATGCAGGTAAGTCCACGCGCGGAGGCTCGGGGAGGGTAAAAAACGGGCCTACTGGAAGTTCTGGAAGGCCGGAAAGGGGCCTGTTTCCAGCCTCCAGAGGGCCTCCGGAGCCTGGGGAGGCCGTTTTCGTCCTCCTGGAGGCTCAAGGAAAGACTCTGGAGCCCGGGGAGGGCAAACCCCCCCCCCGCCGTGGTGCAGAAGGCTGACTAGGCTTGGCCACGCCCACCCAGCAACCCGGCAAAGAACCCCTTGCTAAAATGTTTGAAGCCCACCCCTGAGTTTAACCCATTTCATTTCCCATCCAGCCGAGTAGACGGACCTCAATTCCCGTTTAGATTCATCCCATTGTGCAAAGCCCAGCCCTCCACTTAAACAACAGGTAGGTCAACTGCCAAACAGATTCCCATTTTTTAAAAAAAAAAAAAAACTGTATTCTTTTTTAATTGACAGCAAGCCCAAGGGAACTGTAGGACAAGGCAGTGGCAGGACCTGAGGGTGGAGTCAGAGCCTGTAGTACAGTGGACTAAAGCACTATTATTAACATCTATTAACATCTGCTGCTTGCAATTACTGCAAGTTCAAATCTCACCAGGCTCAAGGTTGACTCAGCCTTCCATCCTTTCTAAGGTAGGTAAATTGAGGACCCGGTTTGTGGGGGCAATAAGCTGATTTTGTATAAATATATACAAAAGTATGAAGGCTATTGCTTAACGCATTGTAAGCCGCCCTGAGTCTCTGGAGAAGGGCGGCATATAAATCAAATTAAAAAAAAGAAAAAAAAGAAAAAAGAAAAAAAAAGAGAGGCGTTAGCCTAGAATCCTACGTAGCCACAATTGGCTTAAAGTCCAATTCCCCTTGAATTCTGTCAACCCTTATCTAATTCCGAGGTGGTGCTAACCGTGAGTCGAGCATAGACACGAGTAGTAATAAGTCAAGTTTAATTGGGAAGCTCACGGGTGGACCTGGTCTTTCGTGCAGGAGCAAAATAAAACCGCGTCTTATTGCCATATTAACTTTATATAGTTTGTTCCAGAAGCATTAACGGCGGACCGATCCTGCTTAGCTCTTAAAAGAATCACCTCCCTTGTACCTTCCACCTTGGGGCTCACCAAGAAGACAGAGAAGGGTTAAAGCAATATGCTCTTCCGTCCGACATATTCATCACGGGGATGCCATGCTGAGTCAGCAAGATTTGAGAGACGGTGGTTTCACTTCCTGCGGAGGTCAAACATACCCGTCAGTTTTCTTGGCGGCACAAACACGGGACGGGTCTTGTCAACTGACGGGCGGAGGACGGGTAGTCCTTGACTTATAACTATTCATTTTAGTGACTTTTTGAAGTTACAGTGGCGCTGGGGAAAAAAAGCGACTTGCGTGCGGTCCTCGCACTTGCAACCTTCGGTCACGTGACTGACCACTTGTCACCAATTGCTAAACGAATGGACGTAAGTCCAGGACTACCTTCGAAGAGAGTTTAGGTGGCCCTAGGTGGACTTGAGCGTCGTTACCTGCTAAAATGGTTTGTAGGGACTCGTCTTTCACCACCACGGACTGCTTCCGCACGTTCCTAAAAGGGGAAAACGTGGAGGAGAAACAAAAGTGTCGTTCGAATTCCACGTGACGTGTCTTGGCAAAGGAAGATGTGAAAATGTGATGGGGGGGAAGGGAGGGAAGAGAGAGAAGTTCGGTGCTTACCAGACGGAGAGGGTTGCAGCCGTTGTGAGAGCCATCATGTAAAACCCTGTACAGTGCAACGTGGGATGATGGGGGAATGGAGAACGATGGGAGGGAGAAGGCGACGGCCACACGCCGAAAACACAGAGGGTCCGCTTTTCACAGGCCACACTCACCACTTCGCTGGAGGGAGAAGCACAAGACAAAAATAGTCGTTTTGGTACTTTGGGCTAGTGGTGAAGGCATCCGGCTAGAACAGGGGTCAGCAACCTTAAACACTAAAGAGCCACAAAGGTCCTAACCGGAAGCCCCCATTCAATTCTGGAGCCGACCGGAAGTCCAGTCCCCCCCCCCCCCGCCATAGAGTCTCCTCCTAGAGCGGCGTCCTTTTTCCTCTACCTGTCCTAACCGAAAGCCCTATCAATTGTGGAGCTGACCAGCAACAGGGAGCCGCAGCAGAGGGATGAAAGAGCCACATGCGGCTCCAGAGCCGCGGGTTGCTGACCCCTGGGCTAGAAAGAGGGAGACGTGAGCGAGTTCTAGTTCCACCTTAGGCGTAAAAGCCAGCTGAAGGACTTTTAACCAATCATCCGGAGACGGTGAGTTTCTAGTCCGGCCTTAGCCATGAAAGTCAGCTGGGGAACTTTCGGCCAATCATTAGGAGACTGGGAGGTCTAATCCCGCCTTAAGGCATGGAAGCTGGTTGGGTGACTTTGGACCAATCACCAGGAGACTGGGAGTTCTAGTCCGGCCTTAGCCATGAAAGTCGGCTGGGGAACTTTCGGCCAATCATTAAAAGACTAGAGGTCTAATCCCACTTTAAGGCATGGAAGCTGGTTGGGTGACTTTGGACCAATCACTAGGAGACTGGGAGTTCTAGTCCGGCCTTAGCCATGAAAGTCGGCTGGGGAACTTTCGGCCAATCATTAAGAGACTAGAGGTCTAATCCCACTTTAAGGCATGGAAGCTGGTTGGGTGACTTTGGACCAATCACTAGGAGACTGGGAGTTCTAGTCCGGCCTTAGCCATGAAAGTCGGCTGGGGAACTTTCGGCCAATCATTAAAAGACTAGAGGTCTAATCCCACTTTAAGGCATGGAAGCTGGTTGGGTGACTTTGGACCAATCACCAGGAGACTGGGAGTTCTAGTCCGGCCTTAGCCATGAAAGTCGGCTGGGGAACTTTCGGCCAATCATTAAAAGACTAGAGGTCTAATCCCACTTTAAGGCATGGAAGCTGGTTGGGTGACTTTGGACCAATCACCAGGAGACTGGGAGTTCTAGTCCGGCCTTAGCCATGAAAGTTGGCTGGGGAACTTTCGGCCAATCATTAGGAGACTGGGAGGTCTAATCCCGCCTTAAGGCATGGTAGATGGTTAGGTGACTTTGGACCAATCACCAGGAGACTGGGAGTTCTAGTCCAGCCTTAGCCATGAAAGTCGGCTGGGGAACTTTCGGCCAATCATTAGGAGACTAGAGGTCCAATCCCGCCTTAAGGCATGAAAGCTGGCTGGATGAGTTTGGACCAAGTGAGTTTGTGGCAAACCGGTGGTAAAGATAAGTGAAATCTACCTCTGGTACAGAGGCATCACATTGGGAAATGTCACTTTTTAATCTGATGCACCAACTTTTGAGACTGGGCACCTGAGCTCCCTTCATTTAATTCCTTTCCTTCCTTCTTTTCCCTCATTTTCACTTTCTCTCCCTCCTTCCCCTCATTTTGAATTCCTTTCTTCCTTCTTTTCCCTCATTTTCTCTCCTTCCTTCCCTTCATTTAATTCCTTTCCTTCCTTCTTTTCCCTCATTTTCACTCTCTCCTTCCTTCCCTTCATTTAATTCCTTTCCTTCCTTCCTTCCTTCCCCTTATTTTCAATTCCTTTCCTTCCTTCTTTTCCCTCATTTTCACTTTCTCTCCGTCCTTCCCCTCATTTTCAATTCCTTTCCTTCCTTCTTTTCCCTCATTTTCACTTTCTCTCCTTCCTTCCCCTCATTTACAATTCCTTTCCTTCCTTCTTTTCCCTTATTTTCACTTTCTCTCCTTCCTTCCTTCCTTCCTTCCTTCCTTCCTTCCTTCCTTCCTTCCTTCCATCTTTCTCCCTTTCCCATTTTTTCCCCTTCCTTTCTTGGATAAGCTGGATTCAGATTCAGCCCATGGCTTAGTCCTCATCTTACAGCAATTTGCTTAGTGACTGTTCCAATTTACAATGGCACTGAAAAGAGTGACCTACGGCCGTTTTTCACTCTTACGACCATTGCAGCTCCTCCCATGGTCACATCATTAAAATCCGGACCCTTGGCAACCGATTCCTATTTACGACGGTCGCAGTATCCCAGGGTCACGTGATCTCCTTTTGCGACCTCTTGAGAGGCAAAGTCAATGGGGAAAGCTGGATTTGCTTAACGACGGTGTTCCTAACTTAACAAATGCAGCCATTCACGGAACAAGCGTGGCAAGGAAGGTCGTACGAAGGGAGCCAAACTCACTTAATCGATGCCTCCCTTAGCGGTAGATATTTTGCGCTCCATTGTTGGACGTACTTCGAGGACTCCCTGCAGTGCGTGAGATTAAAAAGGGGTAGAAATTCTTCTCCTTTTGGGAAAAGGGGGAAGCCAGCTCTGCAAAACGAAAACCGGCCTGAAGCCGGTTTGTAAACCGGAGTTTTTTTAATAAGGAAGTGAGTTTGCAAGTCCTCCGTGGCTGGCCTGGGGCGGAGTGAGTCACCCAGAGCATAGAAGGTATTTCCTGCACGGAAAAATGCAAACGATTCAATAAACTGGGAAATGAGCCCAACCAACAGCTGAAATCTCTTACAGGGCATACCTGAAAGGTAATTCTTCTCGGTGCGCTCTAAAATAAATACGATACAGGTAGTCCTCAGCTTACGACCAAAATGGAGCCTCAAAATTTCAGTTGCTAAGCGAAACATTTGTTAGGTGAATTTGGGCTCATTTTACCACCTTTCTCGCCACGGTTAACGCATTGTAAGCCACCCTGAGTCTCCGGAGAAGGGCGGCATATAAATCAAATTTAAAAAAAAAAAAAAAAAAGTGAATAATTGCAGTTGTTAAGTTAGGCACACGGTTGTTAAGCGAATCCGGCGTCCCCCCCGTTGACTTTGCTGGTCAGAAGGTAGCCGGGGTGTGTGTGTGTGTGTGTGTGTGTGTGTGTGTGTCACGTGACCCGAGGACAATGCAACCGTCGCAAATACGAGTCGGTTGCCAAGCGTCTGAATTTTGATCACGTGACTACGGGGATGCGGCAAAGGTCATAAGTGTGAAAAACAGTCGTAAGCCACTTTTTTGAGTGCCGTTGTAACTTTGGGACAGTCACTAAATGAATCATTGGTAGCCATTTATATAAAAGAGCTGCAGGCCCAGCCGGACTGCAGGGGGTTAAAATTACAAAACAGATCCACACCAAATATTGTATAGGTGCCAGCCAGGCTTCGGAAAACGGTTTGCCCAGGGCGGGGTACAAAAACCTGAGACGATTAAAAGAATTAGCTTTTAATTAATCAGACATCCTGTTAGGTCTGTGTCACTGCTTTCCCTGTTTGTTTTTTTTCTTCTCTCTCCAGATTTTGGTGCCATGTTTAATGCAATGTTCCAGATCTTAGTGCAATATTTTTCAATCTTGGCAATTTTCAAGATGGGTGGACTTAAGATGGGTGGAATTCTGGGAGTTGAAGTCCGTGTATTTTAAAGCGTGATAGATGGGGAATTCTGGGAGTTGAAGTCCATATTTTAAAGCGTGATGGATGGGGAATTCTGGGAGTTGAAGTCCGTGTATTTTAAAGCATGATGGATAGGAAATTCTGGGAATTGAAGTCCGTGTATTTTAAAGCGTGATGGATGGGGAATTCTGGGAATTGAAGTCCGTGTATTTTAAAACATGATGGATAGGGGAATTCTGGGAATTGAAGTCCGTGTATTTTAAAGCGTGATGGACGGGGAATTCTGGGAATTGAAGTCCATGTATTTTAAAGCGTGATGGACGGGGAATTCTGGGAATTGAAGTCCGTGTATTTTAAAGCGTGATGGACGGGGAATTCTGGGAATTGACATCCATGTATTTTAAAGCGTGATGGAAGGGGAATTCTGGGAATTGAAGTCCATGTATTTTAAAGCGTGATGGACGGGGAATTCTGGGAATTGACATCCATGTATTTTAAAGCGTGATGGATAGGGAATTCTGGGAATTGACGTCCATGTATTTTAAAGCGTGATGGACGGGGAATTCTGGGAATTGACGTCCATGTATTTTAAAGCGTGATGGACGGGGAATTCTGGGAATTGACATCCATGTATTTTAAAGCGTGATGGACGGGGAATTCTGGGAGTTGAAGTCCATCACCAACGCAATCCTAAATTGCATGAACAGAGGGATACAATCAAGATCAAGGGAGGTACTAATACCACTCTATAAAGCCTTAGTAAGGCTACACCTAGAGTACTGCATCCAGTTTTGTTCGTCACCACACTATAAAAAAAATGAGACTCTGGAAAGAATGCAGAGAAGAGCAAGAAAGAGGATTAGGGGACTGGAGGCTAAAAGATACGATGAACGGTTGCAGGAACTGGGCATGGCTGGTCTAGTGAAGAGAAGGACCAGGGGAGACAGGAGAGCATCTTCCAATATTTGAGGGGCTGCCCCAGAGAGGAGGAAGGGGGTCAGGCTATTCTCCAAAGCACCCGAAGGCCGGACAAGGAACAATGGATGGAAACTGATCAAGGAGAGATTCAACCTGGAAATAAGGAGAAATTTCCTGACCGTGAGAACAATCAACCCATGGAAGAGAAGTTGCCTTCGGAAGTTGTGGGAGCTTCATCCCTGGAGGCTTTCAAGAAGAGACTGGGCTGCCATCGGTCAGGAATGGTGTAGGGTCTCCTGCTTGGTGGGGGGTTGGACTAGATGACCTACAAGGTCCCTTCCAACTCTGTTTTAATCTGTTAAAAAAGCAAGCTGGCTGGGGAATTCTAGGAGTGGAAGTCCACCAATCTTAAAATTGCCAAGTCTAAAAAAACGCTGTTTTGGCGCATTATCCACCTCAAATCCCCCAATTTCAGCCAGGCCAAGTCACCCTCCCTGATCTCGATTGCAAATGTTATTATGTCTGCAACGTGGAGGACAAACTCCCAGCTCAGCGGATGGAGGTCACGGCAGCAACTCACCAAAGCCACAGAG